TCATTTTCATGTACAAAGACAACCGATTTATATATTTTTGGTCGACGTGATGACCGTTAAATCAGAACCACGTGGTCTCATCTTCTTGATTGAAGCACAATATCACTAAGTCCATCATACATTAAATACATTGACAACGGATCAGCCGCCATATACAATAGGTTGACACACCTGACTTTTTTTAATTACAAATGTCATATCAATCATTCCTAAAGATTGTATGCAAATCTTGCAAGAGATAGCTTCACTTTCAGGGATCTCGGATGAACTAAGTGTTTCGGCTAGAGAGGGTTTCATCTTGGTGATTTTTGATGCGAAGAGCCTTGGCATAACACGAGGTTTGACATACTGATTCAACCATTTAGGCAGTGTTTCGGCACAATAGTTTCAGCCATTCATTTGATCTTTTTTACATTTGACCAGTTGACTCTTTGTTGACTTTTCTTTTCCCGTAGATTGTTACGTGGCATTTTAATTTGAGTCTCAATGACGAGGCGTAACAAAATCTACTACAAATCTATTTTTAGTGAAAACCAAAAGGTGGATATGAAAAGCCAAAAAAAAAAAAAAAACACCATATACACGTTCGAATAATATTTAAATCTTGATTTGACATAGATTTTTGGAGTAGACTAATTTTTGTTATTTTCTATGCCTCTATTCAGATTGATTATTAGTAATTTTTAAAGAACTTTTTAAGAGGAATAGTAGTGAAAATCATGAAATGTGTGAATAATAATGTGAAATAATTTTGAATGTTTTGTTGAAATTGAAAATTGAAAGTAACTGCGTAGTAGAAGTAACTATTAAGTTACTAATAATGTTAGACAAACACAAACTATTTATGTTTGGAATAATTTTATGATTTTTTATTTAAGAATCCATTTGAGAAGAATTTATAAACATTTTAATTTATAAATACATAAAAATGAGTGATATATAAATGGATAGTACTTATAAATCTATTAAGCCAGGTCTGCCTGCACTTTTTGTGAGATTAAAATTCTTTTTTTTTACCATTGCAAGGTGAGTGTAGGTCTTAGTGTGAGAAGCAAATAAAAAAAAAATGAGGACAGTTGTGGGCCCATTTGGAAGTGGCAACGATCAATAAATTGATATAAATCTTGTTGAAAAGCAGGAATAGACGAGCTAAATATGTGTGAAAATGAAATTTGACTATTTATAAAATTTGCCCAATGGAAGCTAAAATTGAAATTTCTTTTAGGCTATGTTCGATTGACTTTATTTTTCATGAAAAATTTTATTTTCACCAAGTTCCTACTTTTGAAATATTTGATTCTCATTTTTTCATGGAAAATATTTTCCAAAAATTGGTCTCGTAACCATATTTTTCTTAAAAATAAGGAAAACATTTTCTTTGTGGAGGGGTAAATAAAACATTTTTCAAGCAATTTACATTTCCCAAAAACTCTAATTTTACTCTTCTCTCCTCTACCTCTTTCTTTCATCTACCCATTAATAAATGATATAAAATTGCAATATTTTTTAGGTTGAAAATTAAGTCAATCAAATATATTTAATTGATAATTTTCATGAAAACAACTTTTAGACAATTCAATTACTTAGAATTTTTTTTTTTTTTTATACAAGTTCCATACTTACAATCAAATACATCCTTAATGAAAATTGTGCACGTTATCATAAAAGGATGGTGCTACTCTGCCAGGGCCAGTGACTAGGGGTAGGCAAAAATCAATCTTAATCAGTCAAATCAATCAATCGAACCCAACCAGTTTGGATTGATTTTTTAGTTCAATTAGGTTATGGTCGAGGTTAAGAAATCAAATTTCAGGTTGGGTCGAGTTTCGGGTTATCTATTAAAACTCAATCAAACCCAACCCAACCAATTAAATTAAAAAATATTAAAAAGAAAATTAGTACTTAAAATCAAAAACCAAAACCCAAGTGATCAAATTTTCCTCTACCTCGTCTCTTATGTCTCTCATTGCTGCTCGTACCTCTACTTCTTGACTCGATTTTTGACGTGATTTTTCACTACACACTTGGATTGAAGGAAGAGATTTTGTATTGAGTTTGAATGATTTAACATTTTTAGATTTTAGATTGAATTTATTTTATTCAATATGTATAATATGCAGATATTCAACATGTATTTAGATTGATTTAATGTGTATTTAATTTAATCATGATATAATCTATTTAACATGTTTTACAATATTTTTAATTTATATTGTTCTATTGGAATAGAACTTAATCCGACGGACCATTGATCCCACTTCAATCAACTTAA